CGAAGCTAGGCGAGATTAAAAGAACCTCCGGTTGGTTTGCAACAAACAGGAGGGAAGGTGACATCGACGGGAGCGCGCTTGGACCCGAGAAGAGACGGTCAGTGTCAACACCGCATCAACCGATTGAAAACGATCCGCTCGACATGGCAGGAGCGACGTGCACATGCCAGAAATGCCAGAGGACCACGAGACCTTGCCAACAGGCTCCATGTTTTAGTAGATGCTTCTGTAGTCTCAGGAGGAAGAGAGTGGCTCCGAGATTTCTGCATGGCCCCAGACTCAGCAAACGGCCGTCACTCGGCAGACTACCGCCGACATGCTTGAAACAACTCACCCGTGCATACACAGGGGCGTGGAAGACTTGGGAAGTGTAGGGACAGCTTAAGTAGGTAACAACAACGTCCACCCTGAAGCTGCTGTGGCTTTGTATCGTTGGCCTTGTAAACTGAAACGACCGTAAAAGTATGTAACGCCAACGTCCACCTTGAAATTGCCGTGGCGTTGTATTGCAGACTTTGTAAACTGTACAGAGGGCATATGTACGTAACGCCAACGTCCACCCCGGAATTGCCCCGGCTTTGTATAGCAGACGTTGTAAACTGCAAAGACAGTAAAAGTATGTAACGCCAACGTCCACCCTGAATTTGCTGTGCCTTTGTATTGCAGAGTTTGTAGAGTGTAAGGACAGTATAAGTAGGTAACGCCAACGTCCACCCTGGAATTGCTTTGACTCTGTATTGCAGTCATTGTAAATCGTAATCGCAGTATAAGTATGTAACGCCAACGTCCACCCTCAAGCTGGTGTGCCTTCGTAATGTTAGCTTTATAAACTGTAAGACCGTATAAGTATGTAACGCCAACGTCCACCTTCAAATTGTCTTGACTCTGTATCGCATTCTTTGTAAACTGCAAGGACAGTATAAGTATGTAACGCCAACGTCCACCCTGGAATTGCTCTGTCTGGGAGGACAGTACAAGTATGTAACGCCAACGTCCACCCTGAATTTACTGTGCCTTTGTATTGCAGAGTTTGTAGAGTGTAAGGACAGTATAAGTAGGTAACGCCAACGTCCACCCTGGAATTGCTTTGACTCTGTATTGCAGTCATTGTAAATCGTAATCGCAGTATAAGTATGTAACGCCAACGTCCACCCTCAAGCTGGTGTGCCTTCGTAATGTTAGCTTTATAAACTGTAAGACCGTATAAGTATGTAACGCCAACGTCCACCTTCAAATTGTCTTGACTCTGTATCGCATTCTTTGTAAACTGCAAGGACAGTATAAGTATGTAACGCCAACGTCCACCCTGGAATTGCTCTGTCTGGGAGGACAGTACAAGTATGTAACGCCAACGTCCACCCTGAAGTTGCCGTGGCTTTGTATTGCATTTTTTCGCCAACTGCAAGGACAGTCTAAGCATATAACGCCAACGTCCACCCTGAATTCCCTGTGTCTTTGTAAGTGCAAGTACGTAACGCCAACGTCCAGCCTGGAATTCCTGTGGCTTTGTATGGCAGACTTCGTAAACTGCAAGGACAGTATAAGTGTGTAACGCCAACGTCCACCTTGAAATTGCCGTGGCTTTGTAGCGCAGACTTAAGTTGCATAAACTGTCAAGACAGTACAAGTACGTAACGCCAACTCTCGATTGCTGTGGCTTTGTATTGCAGACTTTGTAAACTGTAAGGACAGTAGCTGCAAGGACAGTATAAGTATGTAACGCCAACGTCCACCCTGAAATCGCTGTGGGTTCGTCGAACCAGCTTGTCGAGAATACACACGCCAGGGGCATGGAAAACATCTATGCCCGAACGCGGGGAGCTCACACGGACTATAAGCTAGGCCATTCGCATCGGATCTACTTCGCAAGGTGCTCACCAGATCCTGAGCAGCTGGAGACGACGGCACTTCTCTATCGAGCCCGTCGAGACAACCCGGGTGCTTTCCGAGAAAAGCTGCAGGAAGTCGAAGCTCTGCTTGGCGAAGAAGAACTAGCAAAGCAACTTCGCCTGCTCGAAGAGTACAGCGCCAATGCCGACATCTCGGCAGAAGCGAATAAGTCCTCGACGGCGGAGCCCGCAGCAGCTCCGGCGACGCCCGGCGCGGCGGCCAGCTCGCTTGTACTCGGTCAGGACCCCGGCCTCGCTGCAAAGCAACAGCACCACGGCCTCCTCATGCCGAGCACGCTTCTATCAGGTCACATGGCGGAGCCGATGACGGATTCCTCAGAGGACACTTACCACGACAAATCAAGCATTTGCTTTTTTGCAGTCGAACCGCGAGGATGAAAGCGATTCCGGAAAATCCGCATGGCCCGACACCCGGTAAAGCAAGCAACCGAGCCAGCTTGACGAGCGTAAACACCGCCAGGGGCATCAAAGACATCTATGCCGAAGCGCCAGGAACTCAGACGGACAAAGACTGAATCTGTTGAGTTGTAGTTCGCAAGGCGTCGTCGGCCAGATCGGACGGCAAAGCCCGCAGCAGCTCCGTCGACGCCCGGCGCGGCGGCCAGCTCGCTAGTACTCGGTCAGGACCCCGGCCTCGCTGCAAAGCAACAGCACCACGGCTTCCTCATACCGAGCACGCTACTATCAGGTCACATGGCGGAGCCGATGACGGATTCCTCAGAGGACGCTTACCACGACAAATCAAGCATTTGCTTTTTTGCAGTCGAACCGCGAGGATGAAAGCGATTCCGGAAAATCCGCATGGCCCGACACCCGGTAAAGCGAGCAACCGAACCAACTTGACAAGCGTAAACACCGCCAGGGGCATCAAAGACATCTATGCCGAAGCGCAGGGAACTCAGACGGACGAAGACTGAATCTGTTGAGTTGTAGTTCGCAAGGCGTCGTCGGCCAGATCGCGAGCAACTGGAAACAACAGCTCTTCTCCATCGAGCCCGTGAGGACGATCCAGATGCTTTCCGGGAGAAGCTGCAGGAAATCGAGGCCGTACTTGGCACCGAGGAACTAGCAAGGCAACTTCGCTTGCTCGAAGAGTACACCACGAAGGCCGACATCTCGGCGGGAGCGAGGGAGTCTTCGCCAGCGGAGCCCGCAGCAGCTCCGGAGACGCCTGCAGCAGCCGAAGTGGCATCGCCTCCAGCAGTGGAGTCTCCGCGTTGGGCGCTGACAATCAAGCCAAGGTGGTGCCGGAAAATTCTCGACGGCAGCAAAGTCTGGGAAATCAAAGGACAGAACTGCAAGAAACATCTACACGAGCGGATCTGCATCGCCGAGTCTGGAACCAAGAAGCTGGTGGGAGAGATGACCATCCGCGAAAGCTTCAAGATTACCCGAGAAGACCTCGAAGCCAACAGACATTTGCACCAGATCGACGACCTCTCGATCATCACCTACGCCAACATCTACGCCTGGGTCCTGGAAGACGTGAAAGCTTACGAACGGCCTCGTTCTTACAGCAGAATGTGGGGAAGCATCGGCTGGGTGGACCTTCGGCCACCGCCCAAACAAGAGCCGTGCCAAAATCCAGATTGCTGTTTCGGGATCACCAAGCAGAATGTCCGGGGAATGGCCTACGGCCGCGCCCACGATGGCATCAGCTTCCAGCACTGCGTGTTCTGTTCCAGGGAAGCCTTTCGTGCTGCAGCTGAGGAGCGCGGTGGGCAGCAGATCAAAAGATGGTTGAGTCAGCTACAGTCCATCGACAGCGATCGCTACAACCAGGCACTGGAACGAATTCAACAGGAACACGGCACAGAGATGGCGGAACGCTTCGGTTCCAAGAAACCCAGACAGAAAAGCAGGAGAAGCACTGCAACCACATGGCAGACTTCGCTGGAGCATCGTCAACCGGCACTGAGAATGTCGGAAGCCTTTCGCCGAGAGTTTGAGTTCACGCAGCACCGAGCGAACAAGAGACTGCAGCGGAAGTTTCCCGCATTGTACACCGAAGGAGCCAGAGAGAAGACAGAGTGGATGCCTCCTCGCGCCGCAGCTTTCGAGAAGTGGTGTCGAGATGATTCTTGGCAGATGTGCAGCTGCTGCGGCCGCATGGTACCACAAGCCTTCCGCGCCAAGCATGCCAGTGGCAAGGCCGTTACCAGTTCGGAATTATCCGCATGTGGACATTGCAAGTCCAACGGCTCCACAGGTTATTGGGCTCCCACTCCTGCAGACGTGCCCAACCGCCTGCGGGAGTTGTCGGCGCAAGCCATCGAAGCTCTGCGGCCCTTCGACGTTCATACCGGAGGGACCGTGCGAGCGCCCAACGGCTACTTGGTGCACAACGACATGATGCGCTTCTCGTTCAAGACCTCCTCCGTGGAAGAAAACATTGCAAAGCTTCCGAGAAAACAAAAAGAGCGGGCGGAGAAAGCATTGGAGTATCTGCTTGGAGATCGTTCCAACTCCTACTATGTTTACTTCTGGCAACTCCACGAGAAGAGCCTGCGAGCAAGACAAAGGGCGATCCAACGAGGCGACATCTGGTCGGGCACGCCTGCCAAGCGATTGCCCACGAACTTCATCGAGACCGTCGGCATCGAATGCGCGCTCTGGCCGCACCTGTACTGGTGCGTGGACATGACGGAGACGTACGTGAGATCCCAAGATGCACGCAGACTGCAGCGGCGCCGGCAAGATCAAGATGAGGATAGCGACGAGGACCTCGACGGGGCCGAGCAGAATGCGTCGCGACAGAGCGCCAAAGCAAGCTATCTGGCCAAAGCCCATTCCGCGGTGATAGGATACAACTCGGATCCGCTGCTGCTGCACTTCGTCTACGACCTCTGGCTCTTCACCACCATCGGAGGGGCCAAGAACAGTGCCGGCACCGGGTCCGTGCGAGCAGCTTTGGCCACCAAGCCATACTCTCCGGAACTCTGGCGCACCTACCACACCGCATTGGTGGATCTGCAACGACAGGTGGGGTGGCCGAGCCTCTTCATTACCATCGCTCCCTACGAGTGGTCGTTCCCGTACCACCAGTGGCTGCAAGACGAGCTGAACAAATCTCTCCTGGCCAGGCTCGAGATGCCAGTGGCAGAGACCTTGCATCTGGCCCATGTGCTTACTCAGGCAGTCAAAGGTCTTCTAACCGGAGCGAACGAAGGCCTGCAAGCCAAGCGAGAGCACGTCTTCTGTTCCGGAGAAGGCCCCGGCAAAGTTCGGCACTGGGTAGCCAGGTTGGAATTCCAAGACGGCAAGCGGAAACGGCACGTGCATCGGAACGGCCAATTCTACCACGGACGCGGAGCGGTTCACGTGCACATCCTTCTGTGGCTATCGGACATGCAAGCCATGGAACTGTCCTCGAAGATCCGCGCCGACATACCCGGCGAGGACGAGCCGGAGATGCGCGATCTGGTGTTGGGCTCCCAACTGGACTACACCTCAAGCGGCTGGCCGGCACGCGAAGAACCCACTGAGGTAAGCAAGGAAGACCAGCGACTGAAACTGCATCATCCTCGCGAAGCTTTCGAAAGATGCTGTCGGGCATACGTCTCAGACGTCCTGGCCGCCCTTCGCTGCCACGTAGATGTCCAAGCATCGGATGGTCGCGCGATGATTCTGAAGTACTGCGCCAGCGCCTTGTTTGCAATCCGAGTAAACCGATTTCAGCATTTAGTCGTAGATGTCGTCTCGGTTTGCTGCACCTCGCCGCGCAGGCTACCTTCCGAAGTTCAGCAGCTCCTTTGCAGCGGAACTGCTCAACAACGAGGCCAGCGATTACTCGCTAGCGCGCCGCGTGCTGGCAGACTACCACCCGCTGCAGCCCGAAATGGTCATGCAGCTTGCGATGCAGCAACACCCGCAGTTCATCTGCCCAGCCACCGTGCGCAAGTTCGTCGTGCCCGTTCCTTGGCAAAAGGAGATGCCCAAGCTCGTGCAGAACTACATGACGAGTTCCTGGAGACGTCCCAACATGAGCCTCTTGGACTTTCTGAGAAAATCAGGCAACAACGGCCAGATATCCCAGAAATACCGTCGCATGCACAGCCACCTCATGGATCAATGTGCACCCGGCCGACGGCAAAATCCTGGTGGCCGATATCCCGTACGCGCACACCAACGATCGACGCTACGGCCAATGGTTGCTCTTGAACGTGCCCTTCCGGAACGTCGACGACCTCTGGCTCGAGAACGCGGAAAAACTGCCAGAGAACCTCAAATTTCTCGGACTTTGCGTACTCCACCGCCGTCGCTTCTGGCGAGATCCACAAAAGATTCGAGCGGAGTTGGAAAAAGAGGCTCGCAGCGAGACGTACATCCAGAACACGCTGGCCATGCTGCCGGCCCGCATCGAGCTGATCGACGCTTACCTCTCCGGGGAGATGACAGTGGAGAAGGAGCCGGAGCCTGCATTGGACGGAGTTGCCAAAGTGGCCAGCGCCAACATCAAGGTTGCACCGGAGCAAGCGAACGTCATCCACACCATCCGCCGACGAGTTCAACACGCGCTGGAAGCAAAGTGGCCGGAAGACAACCAAGTCGACTCCTGGGCCATATGGTTCGATCAAGCAGCGCCCGCCAACAGACCAACGGTCGTCTTGGGACCGGCCGGCAGCGGAAAGAGCACCGCGGTCGAGATCGCTTTGGCCGAAGCCGTCAAGGCCGGAGCGCACGTCGGTGTGGCGTGCCCGACGGGCATGTTGGCTACTCGGTACAGGAGTCGCTATCCGGATCTGGACATCGACACCGTGCACGGCATGTTCGCATTGCACAAGGACGAGCTGACGACCGCCGACATCATGAAGATCTACGATCTCATCATCATCGACGAGATAGGCCAGCTCCCAGTCTGGATCTTCGATCGACTGCTTCGACTCTGGGACGCGGCCGAGCGAAGGCCCGCCATCGTGTTCGTGGGCGACTTCTGTCAGCTAACGGGGGCGGACGGCACCACGGCAAGAGACAGTCCCAGGTGGCCCCAGATGAGCATCTCCACGCTGTTCGAGATGCGCCGATGCAAATGTGCCAAGTTGAAGTGGAAGCTACAACTCTTGAGGAGCTCGATACCGAGCGGGGCACAGCTGAAACGACTTCTAAAAGGCCATCGCGCGAATCTTCGTACAGACCGCACTCGCGGCAACATCGTTACCGCAGACGACGTGGCCGAGGTCTTCAAGCAGACCCCGAACACCACGTTCGTCACCATCTCCAGGCGAGGCACGGCCAAGGTGAACCAGCACGCAGTGCGCGCTCTCTTCTCCGATGCGGACGTCCTTGGACGCATACCTTGCGATCCGCAGGAGAACTTCGACAACTTCCGCGGCACCGCGCAAGTCGCTGCCGAGCCATTCTGGATGCCCGTCTACGAGGGCATGCGAGTGACCATCACCAGAAACACGGACAAAGAGAACGGCTTCGTCAACGGCATGGGTGCGGTCGTACAGCGCATGAGACACACGGGCGTACAGGTCAAGACCGACGAAGGCAAGGTGCTCCTGATTCATCCCATCGCCCATGAGTGCGCCCTGTGGGATGGCAGCGTTCAGACCACCATCGCTTTTCCGCTCCGACTGGGCTACAGCACGACCTTGCACAAAATTCAAGGTGCCACCCTGTCCCACATCACCATTTGGATGGATGTTCCTTTCGTGAAAGCAGCACTGTACGTCGCCCTGTCGCGCGTACAGTACGACCGCGATTGGAGGTTCGTAGGAAGCATCGACCGCCGCCACTGCCTGCCAGCAGCCATGTGAGGCGAGCATGTGAAGCATGCAACAGAAAGCTCCAGGGGCTACAGCAATTTCTAGTAAGAATGGAAGAATGCAGTTTCAAGTGGCTCTGGAATCATGGAGCCCCTCGAGCCTGACGCCCACGGAGCGGATACAATCCCCGTGGACGAACCAAACCAGCGTGTACTGCATCGAGCAAAAAGGGTCAATGCCACAGCTGACGCACTGCGAAGTGCCTAATCGAGTACGAAGTTGTGCATGCTGCATGTCGCCATGTGGACCGCAGACCATAACAACATATGAAAGACAATCCCAACTGACATCTTTCACATGTGTAAACTCGGATGAGACAGCTACCAGTGACAATCACAATGGACCTCGCGCCGTGCTGCCACCAGGCATTGACGGGACTGCTTCCAAGTTCTTGCTAGGTGTAGTCCAGCCATCGCCACGCGCCAGAATACAGTTCTTGCTCTGTCCGGTGTGCTTGAAACACCTGCTCACTGACAAAAGCCCAAATCCTGAAATGATCCTAAAGAATAACATTTAGGCCCGAATTCTTATTGCAAAGTCTTATTGTTAAGATTCAGGTGTGGCTTTGTACTGTCGGCTTTTCAAATAGTAACGACAATAAAAATATGTAACGCCAACGTCCACCCTGAAATTGCCGCGGCTTTGTATCGCAGACTTTGTAAACAATGAAGCCAGTATAAGTATGTAATGCCAACGTCCACCCTGAGATTGCTGTATTGTCGACTTTGTAAACTGTAACGATCACAGCCGCAGGCTTGCGATGGTAACGTAATCGTGTCCCCAAACCTCGTCGCCGGCAAGTTGCTCACAGCCACAGGCTTGCGATGGTAACGTAATCGTGTCCCCAAACCTCGTCGCTGGAAAGTTGCTCACGGCCACAGGCTTGCGATGGTAACGTAATCGCGTCCCCAAACCTCGTCGCTGGAAAGTTGCTCACAGCCATAGGCTTGCGATGGTAACGTAATCGTGTCCCCAAACCTCGTCGCTGGAAAGTTGCTCACAGCAACAGGCTTGCGACGGTAACGTAATCGCGTCCCCAAACCTCGTCGCTGGAAAGTTGCTCACAGCCACAGGCTTGCGATGGTAACGGAATCGTGTCCCCAAACCTCGTCGCTGGAAAGTTGCTCACAGCCACAGGCTTGCGATGGTAACGTAATCGTGTCCCCAAACCTCGTCGCTGGAAAGTTGCTCACAGCCACAGGCTTGCGATGGTAACGTAATCGTGTCCCCAAACCTCGTCGCTGGAAAGTTGCTCACAGCCACAGGCTTGCGATGGTAACGTAATAGTGTCCCCGAACCTCGTCGCTGGAAAGTTGCTCACAGCCACAGGCTTGCGATGGTAACGTAATCGTGTCCCCAAACCTCGTCGCTGGAAAGTTGCTCACAGACACAGGCTTGCGACGGTAACGTAATCGTGTCCCCAAGCCTCGTCGCTGGAAAGTTGCTTACAGCCACAGGCTTGCGATGGTAACGTAATCGTGTCCCCAAACCTCGTCGCTGGAAAGTAGCTCACAGCCACAGGCTTACGATGGTAACGTAATCGTGTCCCCAAACCTCGTCGCTGGGAAGTTGCACACAGCCACGGGCTTGCGATGCGCCCATGCCTGTTTAACCGAATCTTTCCTATTTCCAAGTCTTATTCCCAATTCGTTTTCCCAATTCTTATTCCTAATTGCCAATTCTTCTTCCCAGTAAGAATTAAGCACTTGAATGAGGGTCCCCCCAGGATCGGCCACCAGCCTAATTTAAAACGCACTTTTCATGAACAGAATTTGACAACAAAAATACCTCCACCGATTCTCCAGAAAAGCCCGTCTAATTCTTATTCCCAATTCTTATTCCCAATTCTTATTCCCAATTCTTATTCCTAATTGCCAATTCTTATTCCCAATAAGATTTAAGCACCTGTATGAGGGTCCCCCCAGGATCGGCCACCAGCCTAATCTAAAACGCACTTTTTATGAACAGAATTTGACAACAAAAATCCTTCCACCGATTCTCCAGAAAAGCCCGTCTAATTCTTATTCCCAATTCTTATTCCCAATTCTTATTCCTAATTCTTATTCCTAATTCCCAATTCTTTTTCCCAGTAAGAATTAGGCACCTGAATGAGGGTCCCCCCAGGATCAGCCACTGGCCTAATCTAAAACGCACTTTTTATGAACAGAATTTGACAACAAAATTCCCTCCACCGATTCTCCAGAAAAGCCCGTTTAATTCTTATTCCCAATTCTTATTCCTAATTCTTATTCCTAATTCCCAATTCCTATGCCCAAGAAGAATTAGGCACCTGAATGAAGGTCCCCCCAGGATCGGCCACCAGCCAAATCTAAAACGCATTTTTTATGAACAGAATTTGACAACAAAAATCCCTCCACCGATTCTCCAGAAAAGCCAGTCCAATTCTTATTCCCAGTTCTTACTCCGAATTCTTATTCCCATGTCTTATTCCGAATTCTTATTCGCCAATTCATATTCCTAAATCCTAAAGCCCAAATCCTAAAGCGCAATCTCAAAAAAATAAGAATTAGGCACCGGAAAGAGGGTCCGCTCGAAATCCGCCACCAGCCTGTTTTAAAATGCACTTCTTATGAACAGAATTTGACAACAGAAAATCCGTCCACCGAACCTCCCAATTCTTATTCCCAATTCTTATTCCGAATTCTTATTCGCTAATTCTTATTCTCCAAATCCTAAAGCCCGAATCTTAAAGCGAAATCCTAAAAAATCAGAATTAGCCACCGGAAAGAGGGTCCCGTCGAGATCCGCCACCAGCTTACTTTAAAAGGCACTTTTTATGAGCAGAATTTGACAACAGAAAATCCGTTCACCACTCCTCCCAATTCTTATTCCCAATTCTTAATCCCAATTCTTATTCCGAATTCTTGTTCGCTAATTCTTATTCATAAATCCTAAAGCCCAAATCCTAAAGCGAAATCCTAAAGAATAAGAATTGGCCCTAATTCTTATTCCCAAATCCTAAAGCGAAATCCTAAACCCTAAATCCTAAAACGAAATCCTAAAGCGAAACTCTAAAGAATAAGAATTGGCTCCAATTCATATTCCCAAATCCTAGGGCGAAATCCTAAAGCCTAAATCCTAAAGCGAAATCCTAAAGCGAAACTCTAAAGAATAAGAATTGGCCCCAATTCTTATTCCCAAATCCTAAAGCCGAAATCCTAAAGCCTAAATCCTAAAGCCGAAATCCTAAAGCGAAACTCTAAAGAATAAGAATTGGGGCCTAATTCTTAAAGAAATCTTCAAACGGCAATGTAACGAATAAGAATTAGAGGCCGATCCTAAATCCTAAAGCGAAATCCTAAAGCCGAAATCCTAAAGCGAAACTCTAAAGAATAAGAATTAGGGCCCAATTCTTATTCCGAATTCTTATTCCTCGCCCAATTCTTATTCCCAATTCTTATTCCTGCCCCAATTCTTATTCCGAAATCATAAAGCCCAATTCTTATAGCACCCTTTCGCACAGGGTTTAGGGTATAACTATATATAGGACAGTACTGTCGTCGACCTGTGGCTTAGCGGTGGCACGGCCTTAACCTTGGTGAGACAGTAGAAGCGCTGTGTAGGCACACTGCATATGGCGATGCCCTCTAACGCCGAAAAGGCAGGGGAGGCCGCAGCGGTGGGCCGACAGGGCCCACCGGCCTGCGCCCCCTGAGTTTAAGGTTTAGGGTTTAGGGTTTAGGGTTTAGGGTTTAGGGTTTAGGGTTTAGGGTTTACGGGTTTAGGGTTTAGGGTTTAGGGTTTAGGGTTTAGGGTTTAGGGTTTAGGGTTTAGGGTTTAGGGTTTAGGGTTTAGGGTTTAGGGTTTAGGGTTTAGGGTTTAGGGTTTAGGGTTTAGGGTTTAGGGTTTTGGGTTTAGGGTTTAGGGTTCGCCAGCGCAGTTTTTTGAGACTGCGCTAAAAGGCGCCCTAAGCATCTCACGCGAAGCCAGCAGCTGCATCCCTTTCTTTTAAGGGGGCTGCTTCTTAAGCCCTAAAACTCCTTGTCTGCTCCGCGATTGCTCTCTGTTGGTGCGGGCTAGACTAAATTTAGTCTTTTTTAATGTTAAGGGTTTGCTGGGGTTTTGTAAAAAAGCCCGTTTCTGACAATCGTGTTTTTCGGCACTTTTTCCGGGTTGGGGATCGAAACCTTTGAACTTTTCATTTTCATGAAATTCTTTACGAATCGTAAATATTCACCACCGTGATCCTGGGGGGGCGCTGCCCCCCAGACCCCCCGCCAGGACTCCTCGCCCTGGACCCCGCCAGCACTCGCTTGTTGCTGGACCGCGCCAGGGGGACACCCCCTAGAACCCCCGAAAAGAGTTTTCTTTGGGGGGCTGGTCCTTAGGTCCTAAAGTTTGGCGTGTGCCCTGCGATTGTGCTCTGTTTGTTCGGGTTCAGTTAGGTTTAGAGCCCTGTGAGTGTAAAAGGATTGCCGGGTCTTGGTGGTTCTTGTGGTTTCATTGCTTTGAGGGGGCCGTTGCTTAAGCCTTAAAAGTTGTCGTCTGCTCCGCGATTGCTCTCTGTTGGTTCGGGCTAGACTAGATTGTGGCTTTCTTATTGTTGAGGGATTGCCGGGGTTTGGGGGTGCTTGTGGTTTCACTGCTTTTAGTGGGCCGTTGCATAAGCCTTCAAACTCGTCGTCTGCCCCGTTGTCTGCTCCGCGATTGCTCTCTGTTGGTTCGGGCTAGACTAGATTGAGGCTTTCTTATTGTTGAGGGATTGCCGGGCTTTGGGGGCGCTTGTTGTTTCACTGCTTTGAGGGGGCCGTTCCTTATGCCTTCGAACTCGTCGTCGGCCCTACGAGTGCTCCCTGTTTGCTCGGGCTGCTCTTGGTTGAAGCTTTAGTAGTGTTGAGGGATTGCCGCGGTTTTGGTGTCTTTGTTGTTTGAAAGAAGGTCAAGGTTCTCGGGGGCGTTTCTGCCTAGGCTCGGGAGATTTTTCTTTCGTGGGAGGGTCCCCCC